TTGGTCAATATATCAAATAGATGTAAAATCTGCATTTTTGAATGATCCACTTGAGGAGGAAGTCTATGTAGAGCAACCCCTGGTTTTGTGGTAAAGAATCAAGAGGGAAGAGTCTACAAATTGAAGAAGGAACTCTATGGTTTGAAATAAGCACCTAGAGCTTGGAACAAACACATCGATGCTTTTCTAGTTGAGGTTGGCTTCAAGAAGTGTGTGTCCGAACATGGTGTTTACGTGAAGACGAATGCAAGCAAGGATGTGATTATACTTTGCTTATATGTGGACGACTTGTTAATTACGGGCAAAAATGAAGTGAATATTTCTAAGTTCAAGAGTGAGCTTATAGAAGAATTTAAGATGAGTGACCTTGGCTTAATGAACTATTTTCTTGGCATAGAATTTCATAAGTCAAAAATGGGGCTGCTTATGCATCAAAGGAAGTATACACTTGAGATCTTGAAATTATGTGATATGGAGCATTGTAATATTGTCATAACACCAGATGAAGTAAGGTTGCACTGTCCAAAAGTGATGATGAGCAAGATATTGATCCAACTCAATATAGGAGGTTGATTGGATCATTACGTTACTGGTGTAATACGCGGCCAAATTTGGCGTTTAGTGTCGGTATTCCAAGTAGATTCATGGAGAGACCAAATGTGTCTCACTTAGCAGCAGTTAATAGGATCCTAAGATACATAAAAGAAACTCTTGGCTATGGAATTCTCTTTCCTGCCGCAGATATGGACAGAAATTGCAAGTTACTCGGTTACACGGATTCCAACTGGTGGGAAGATAAGGATGATCAAAAGTCTACGACTGGTTATGTCTTTATGTTAGGCGGAGCTCCAATCTCTTGGTGCTCTAAAAAATAAATTATGGTTGCACTCTCTTCTTGTGAGGTCGAGTATATCGTTGCATCAATGTGTGTGTGTCAGGCTGTGTGGCTTGTGAATCTGCTGAAGGAGTTGGGCAGCAGTGCAGAAAAATATGTTACGCTCTTAGTTGATAATATTTCAGCCATTAATCTTGCAAGGAATCCCATAGCACATGGGAGAAGTAAACATATAGAGATGAGATTTCATTACTTGATGGAATTAGTATATGCAGGCCAGCTGAAGTTAGGATACTATCGAAGCAAAGAACAACTTGCGGATTTATTGACGAAAGGCGTGACAAATGATGTGTTCAAGAAGTTTGTGAGGAGTTTAGGTACGAAGAATGTTGAGCATTTGAATTAAGATGGTGTATAGGAAGTTAATAATAATTCAAATGCATTATGGATGCTTTAGGAATCATTTCATCGAAACAGCTTATTTGAGAAGCACTTCTGAAAATAAAAAACCTAGATTTTTCGCAAAGGAAATCGATTTCCCCAAAATGAGAAATCAATTTCCACCAGTTTAAAATTTATGGAAGTTGCTTTTTAGTTCAAGAAATCGATTTCCTTGTTTAGGGAAATCGATTTCTACTGCGAACTTTTGAAACTTTTGTAGCTGTTTGGGCCTATTTTGGTTCCATCTTGCTTTTAATGTTGCCTATAAATACCTCTTGTAATGATTTGAGTTAGTAATGCTATTTTGATATTTTCTCCTCTCTCTCTCTCTCTCTCTCTCTCTCTCTCTCTCTCTCTCTCTCTCTCTCTCTCTCTCTCTCTGTGTGTGTCTCTCTCTCTCTCTAATAATCTTCAATTTCTCTCTAAACTTCATCTTCTCCAATCAACCACTTTTCACCATTGATTCACCAACTTATTTTTGTGTATGCTCCAACAGTAACTATATAAATGTTAATCAACTATTTTCATAAATATCAATAACTATATAAATTTTAATCAACCGAATGTTTTAAACAAAATCTGATTAACATTAAAGAATTAATACTCTTTTGATCAAATAAATTAATCTAAGAGTTCTTTTTATTTTTCAATTTAAAAATTGGTGCATATTTTTAGTCTATATTTATAACTATGTGAATGTTAATCAATTGAAAAATAAATTCAAACTTCATAAATGAGATTAAACGACGTGTAATATAAATCAAGATAGGACTCGTGCGATACCACGCACATCGTACTAATAACATTAATAAAAAATTATTCTAAAAAGAAATACAAAATAAAGTATACTTGATTGATAGTGATGGATATTAGAGTGCTAATTAAATTATACAAATAGAAGAAAAAAATTAATTAACATTTATTAAAAATTGAAATGATTAATTATTTTGAAATTAATTTATCATCATTATTATAATTACTATTAATTGATCACTTTTTTTTTTAATATTTGATTGACATATGTAAGTTGGATTATTCATTTTCATATATACCACTACATACTAGTAGATGTGTATATTAAATGGTCTCCACTATTCCAAATTAAATTGAAACATTTTGTAGCACATGATTGGGGGCAATGTAAGAGATATACCTTCCTTGCACAACCTATGAACCACACATATATAGTAATCCAACCCATTTCATCTCATTCTTCTTCCTTCTTCCTTCTTCCATTTTCCATACCCCAAAAGAAAAAGAAAATGAAAATGCCATCTTTTCTAGATTCTTTACCTCAACGTTCATTCTTCTTTTGTTTCCTCCTTGTTCCTCTTTTGCTTTTGCTCTTGCTCTTAGTACCACCTTCATCATCATCTTCTTCTTCTTCTTCTTCAATTTCCTCTTCAACAACTTCATCTAATAAAGTAACCATGTCAATCTACTATGAAAGTTTGTGTCCTTATTGTGCTGATTTCATAGTGAATCATCTTGTGAAACTCTTCCAAACAAATCTTACTTCCATTGTGAATCTTAGATTGATCCCTTGGGGTAATGCTTTGATTGCACCCGATGGTTCTTTTGATTGTCAGGTATATATATATATCTTTCCATTTTTCATATTCTTCACATCATTCTCAATTTTATATATTCATTCATGAATCTATTCAAGGTTTTTAATTTTGATATCATTATTCCTTATTTTTATAATAAAAATTGGCTTTCTGTTGAACGTTGACCAGTTCATTTATTACCTACCCAACTGTATTCTTCATCAACCAACCAAAAATACTTAGTTGAGTTTATGATTAAAAGTTGTGATATTTTATATTAGTTTTTTTTTATTTATTTTTTTATGAAAACTACTACTTGCTTTTATTTTTGTATAGTATACACTTTTTCTTTCGAAAACCATCTAATTAATTTTTACATGTTTTCTTTTTAATTATTGCAGCATGGAAATGATGAATGCTTTCTAAACACAATCGAAGCTTGCACTATTAAAATATATCCAGATGCGGTACAGTTTCTAATTCTATGAAACAATTTTTTTTATTATTTTTCTTATTTCACATGGCTATTATTATTATTATTATTATTATTATTATTATTATTATTATTATTATTATTATACAAAAAATGAAATATTTAATAAAATATATGATATGATGCAGGGACAACATTTCAAATTTATACACTGTTTGGAGCGTCTCACCTTAGAAAATCGTCATAATGAATGGTTTAATTGCTTCCAAATGACTGGGTTGAGCACAATGCCTATTGATTGCTACAAAAATGGCAATGGAAAATCTGTTAGTTTTTTTTTTCTTTTTTAACTTTTCTTATTTTTCTTAATCTCTATACTTTAATGGCATTTTCAGCTCAACTTTATGAATCTTAATATGATAACACCAATATTTATGTCTAACAAAACAGATTGAACAAAAATATGCTAAAGAAACAGGTGAGCTTAATCCTCCTCATAATTTTGTTCCATGGGTGGTTATCAACAACCAAGCTCTCAAAGAGGTTTGTGATTAAATGTCTAACTTCATCATTGAAATTGTATTAATCTAATTGTTCCCAATTAGTTCCTTAAATTAACCTCTTCTACTTTTTGTTTTGGTTATAGGACTACTTAAATTTTGTGGCATATATTTGCAAGGCATACAAGGGAAATTTGAAACCAGATGCATGTAGATCAGTTTCAACAAGAACTTATTATGATTCAGATGCCAAAATCAACTCTTTTCATCATGTTTGTTATGTAGATGAAGCAAAAAACCTCACCTTACTTGCTACTAGTCGCCAAATTAAGGTCTAAATTCCTATGAAAAATGAAGTTGGAATGAAGTTTTGATATTTTTCATGTGGAAATGCAAATGAATATGATAGAATTTGTTGATTTGTTTATCCATTTAACTCATTTGTATGTACACATAAATAGGTTTTAATAATATGAAGGTCTTGAACTATTTTACAATCGATCCTTGAATTAAATAAGTTATATAATTGGATTTCTAAATTTATAATTAATTTAATGGATTGATCTCGTATGTGTCAATAATTTCAGTTTTATACATGATTATATTTTGGCTTTAATTGAATTCTCTATTAGTCTATCTTTAAGGACATGATAGGCGAACTACCACACACGGAGTGAATGAACTTGTGGGGTTTGAAGATCATTTTTAGAGGGTTTGAATTTATGTTGGAATTGAGAATAATTTTTTGTAAAAACAACATTTATGGAGTTAACATTATTGATAGGATGTTGTCTTTGGCGTTATTTATTTTGGCTTGTGGAGTAGGTGTTTTACCCTTTAAATGTTGGGGGTCAAGGTGGGAGATGGTCCGAGGAAGGTTGCTATGTGGAAAGATGTCATAAACAATGTGAGGATTAGGCTCTCTAAATAAAATGGTAAGTTCCTTTCTTTGGGTGAGAGAGTAGTGCTCATTAATTCGATTCTCGACTCTATTTCATTGTATTCTTTGACGTTCTTTAAAGCTTCTAAAAAGGTGATTCAAGAGATTAGGAGTATTCAAAGTATGTTTCTTTGGAGGGGAGTGAAAGGAAAAAGATGTGTCGTTGGTTAGTTGGAGTAAGGTGTGCAAAGAGAAGTATCAAAGGGGGTTTGGTATTAGGGATGTTGAGTGTTTTAATACGACCTTCTTGATGAAATGGAATTGGCGTATAATCAAGGAGGAGAATGTTTTATGGAGAAACATGTTGAATTATAGGTACATTAATCCTACGGTGAAGATATTCGTAAATGACAAAAGGGTGATGATGAATAAAGATTTCATTTGGTGGCGAGACTTAATTTTGATAAATGATTGTGAAGGCTCTAGAGGGGCCTCTTTGTCTGATGTGATTTCTTGCAGGATTCATAATGGTGTGTCTTCATCATTTTGGTTCAGCAGGTGGTTGGGGAGTCAAACTCTATCGGAAGCAGATGTAGGGTCGTGGACGGGGGCGTGTGGAATTGGGACATGGAGAGAGTGGTTGTTTCTGTTGATGAAGGTTACAGGTGGATGCTGACAGACCTTCTTAACATGCTGGCCAGTTCTGTTTTATGCCAGGAAGTGGAAGATGTCTTTGATTGGGAAGTGGCCGCTGCTGCGGGATTTTCGGTTAAGTCTTGCACGTGAATGTTCAGTTTTAGAGAAGAACAGAACGTGATGCATCAAGGGGTTAAGGAGGCATTATGCTTTCTATGGAGGTTGAGTACTTCGTCCAATATTAAGATGTTCGGTTGGAGACTTCTCTTGAATAGACTTCCAACCAGAGATCAATTATGGAATAGGAATAATTATGGAGGATCAGAAAACTTGTTATGCATTCTACTTAAGAGAAGACGAGACTTCCTCTCATTTGTTTGATTCTTGTTGTGTTACTAGAATAGTTTGGGACAAAATTGAAGGGTGGATAGGGAGTTTGGTGGACATTTTGACGGAAGAGTTGAGATTCTTTCTTATGCATAGTCACAAGATCAAGAATCCAGATAAAAGATTAACAGTAGGGGTGATTTGGTTGACGGTCGTGTGAAACTTATGGGTGATGAGGAATGCAATCATGTTTAATGGTAATTCTTTCAATTTTGATGATTGTATTTCTGCTATTATTTTTAATTCTTGGAAGTAGTTTAGAACTGTTAATGTCACCTCTATTTCTTGTAATTTTCACTTTTGGAACACCAAGTCTCTAAGTTGTATAATGAGGTAAGGGTGTCGTAGGTGGCTTCGAATTGAAGTACTTCTTGTAATCAATTTTGAGGTTTATCAATGAATCATTACTTATTGAAAAAAACTGTAAAAAAATTTATGGTTAAATAGAACTTCTAATTTTTTTTTATCATAGTTGAGTCTTGATTAATCTACGTAGCGCCTCTAAAATCTTAAGATGATTCTGATAATAAAATTGGTTCTCAAATTAATCGACCATAAAATTGAGTATCGAGTTTTCAAAAAAAGTTTCTTAATTTAGAGGCACAATTATAAATTATTTAAAGACCATTTCTTTATATATTTTAGAATGCAAATTTAAATCCGCAAAACTGATACTTCTATGCAAGATTGCCAGACTCGCGAGTCTACTTAGACTAGTAAAGGATTCATAGACTCGACTAGTAGACTCGACTCACAAACTTGTACGAGTCAATGGAAAATTAAAAATGACTTTCAAAAACATGTAAGTGACACATATATGACACAAACATATACCTATAAATCTGTAAATTCTTCATATATGACACACGTATATATAATAGAACACTAATTAACATCAAAATTTATATTTCATACTCCATAGCAAACTTCTTAACAAAAAAACTTGATAATAAAACAAAAAATAACAAAGTAAATAGTTAAAGAGTTAAATTACTCTGCTAAATATTGAAGAAAGAGGAAGTTTCTTACTATATTATGGATAACAGTCCACCTTATAACATTAAATCCCCTTTCTCATAGATTTAAATTGCAGTTCATAACTACAATTACAGTCGCAATATTGCTGATACAGTAGTGTCAACAACTGTATCAGACCAGAATTGAGGCGTGATTTGAGATCACACGCCCTTCCACCTTAGGAATCACATCAGATAACTTCATTAAAATTTCTTCAAATATTTTAGTCAAAAATTAAAATTTAGACCCTAAACTCAATTTTTTTTAAAACACTTAACATTAATTGGTTTTTAATCGTGTATTTTAAAATCTTCTAGATTAAAATTCACGCTGCAACATCTGCAATGTGTATCATAGCAATTGCAATGACTACAATCATAACATTTACAACTGCAACCACATCAACGAGCGCAACCATAATTTAAAACTATGTCGCTGCTCAAATTGTTTTAACTTTATGTTAAAATAGATTTTGTACTGAGGTGCTTTTATGTCTATATCGTCAAGGTCTTCCATTCACCTTAGTTTTTCTTACAATACTTGTATGCACGTCCTTTATAATTATTATTAATAATTAATTAATTAATTAATTAGTAAAAAATGTAGCAAATTTTCATGTGAGTGATGCATTATAGTAAAACAAACAAAAACTTGTTCTCCCTTAAATCATAAATCTTCTAAACTATTTTGTCATGTACAAATTGATACATGGAGATTGGCGATTAGTGGACCTAATTGAAATAAAATATCGCATCACATTTACACAAAAAAAACATACAAGAGAAGCATAGAAGTAAAACATATAAGAGAACACTAACACAACAAAAAATTAATTTACAATAGCGAATGTGAACACAACAAAAAACTGTCAAACGCGACCACATCATTGATGAAGAGAGAAAGAAGCGTTGCTGAAAGAAGAAACTAGGAGAAAGACGTTTTTGATTCTCGTACAAGCAATAAAATAAGAGATTTTTTTTTAAAATGTTTTTTTTTTGAAAATGTAGGCCTTTTTTGAGTTTTTAATAAAAATTTCATAAAAACTTATAGACTCGTAAACTCGCTACAGACTTGTGAGTCTACTTGTGAGTCTATACGAGTTTATGCGAATCTACTCAAGTTTATAAAAAACGATTCTATACGTAAGTCTAATCGTTTTTACTTCATAAACTCATAAATTTATACAAATTTACGAGTCTACTCGCGAGTGACAATCATGCTTCTATGTAAATACTTTGTGTATCTGAGTTATGATATCAATGTATTTGAAACAAATAATAATAAAAAAAAATGTAATTACCAAAAATAAAAGAGAATCATATTATCCAACCATTGAAATAAATTTCTCTATGGGAAATAATTCCATCTTATACATAATTTCCTTTCCATCTTATACATAATTTCACTTGGAAATGAGAAGTATAGGCAAAAGAAATAGTGAACAGAAAAGGAAATTAGAAATGGAAAATGACAAAAAGAATATGAATACAAACCACGTGGTTAGTGAAATAAGACAAGAAAAGAAAAGGTACACAAACATGTGACATGATGAAGACAAGAAAAGTATATGAAGACAAAAATTGCCATGAATATAATGTGAATTTAAACTTATATAGTATAGATTAATTAACACGTCAATACCCAAAAAAAGAGCTCATAAGCGTGAATAATAAATATTGATAATGACTGAAAATGTTATATTATTATTAATACCTTCTTTCCCTACATGCCCTCATTTTTATTTGAAAGTAAAAAACAAAAAGAGAGTATATTTGGTAATTGATATTATTAATTGCCAACTACAAGCAACCTAACAAATTGATTTGCTTAAACACAAAAGCTATCCTACTTCAACTAATAATATAACAAATATTTTCTTCACATTAATTGTAATTTACTCTCATTATTATAAACAAAAATTAATTTTTTAATTAATTAAATAATAAATACAAAATAATTTATATACATTAATAAAATTTAATAATATTTTTAATATTTTAATTTAAAATTTCACTTTTTTAACTATATTTTAACAATATGAAAATGAAGTAATAAGATTAAAATATCTATAATTTAAAATTTCACTTTTTTAACTATATTTTAACAAGATGAAAATGAAGAAATTGGGTCATCTACAATTTTTTTTCAAGCCCTCTCTCGTGTGCAATTTTTAATTGTTGAATTAATTCAAAAGTTAAAAGACAACAAAGAGAAAAAAAATTCATTTAAAAAGACAAAAAAAAGTATTAATTTTAAATTTTTTGTTTTAATTTATTTTATTAATAATCCCATGTTTTATAATAAATATATTATAACTATTATTATTTTTAATTAGAAAAATATATAATATTAGATTGATTATGACAAACAATTTTTTTCAATGTATGAGTTGAGTTGTATGCTTCAACAATTTCTTTAATGACTTATTTTCAAATAAAAATACCTTAAAATTTAAATTGTGAAAAAAATGATAGTTGGCAATATTATATAAGCTTTTTTCATTTTTATGTCGACAAAAAGATTAATTTTATTTTTTAGTCACAAATATGTATTCCTTATATAATTTTTATAATATATTTTAATTATTCTTATTTTATTTAAAAAATTGAAAAACAAATAAAATTAACTAATTTAAGTAGTGAAAAATAGTTTTACTATGTATAAATTGTATGCTTTAACGTCGATATTTAACGATACATTTTCAACAAAAAAAAAACATTTAAACAAGGAAGTATAGTAAATTAAAATTAATTTATTATAATGTTTTTTTAATGTTGACAATATTATAAATTATTAAATTTAACTTCTTTTTTTTTACTTACATAAATTTATCCTAAATTTTTATAATAAGTAATTATCATTTTGATTAATCTCATTTTTTATTAAATATAAAAAATAATTTAAGTAATTGATCTAATATATATAAAAGTATTTTAATTATTACCAAATTAAAATATATAGAAATATTTATTTGATAAAAATATTAAATTAAAAAAGAACAACTTACTTGACAACAAATTATATGAGGTGTTGTGGCCTTTTGATGGTCTTTTGTTTTCTCAAATTATAGAGTAGAAGAAAATTTATAAAAAAAATTAAAAAAAAATTTGAAAAAAAAAGTTAAATTTATATATATATGATGAGTTTGAAAAAGATATTCACATTTCACATCCTAACCACTACTTTTACAAAATTGAAAAATAAAAAATGGTTTCTCGAAAACTATCAATAGCATTAGTTATTTTATTTTTCAGCTATGAATCTCATTCTTCTTCTAATTTTTCTAGTCCACAAATTAAAGAATTTGATGATGAGAAAGTTAATTTCACAGTATACTATGAAAGTCTAAGCCACCCTAGTGCAATTTTCATTGTGAAGAATCTTGAAGAAATATTCAACAATGATCTCATTGACATTGTTAATCTCCAACTAATCCCTTGGGCTAATTCTCATGTCAATCAACTCAACAATTCCATATCATGCCAGGTTTAAATATCTCATTACTTTTTTTTTAAATATTTTCCAAGGTTTCAATAGATGATTATTTATTTAATTTTGTTTTTTCTTTTCCTATACACAATTTTGCAGAATGGACCGGATGAATGTGAGTTGAATTCTTTAGAATCATGTGCCCTTAATATTTGGCCCGATGTGGTAAGTATAAATATGCATTTTCTTATATGATACTAGTATTATTTATTTTTTATTTTTGAGAAGGTTATAGATTTGAAGAATTAATGGGCAATAATTTATATTTCCAAAAACAAAATAAAACAAAAAGTGCTTATATTTTTTTCTAGTTCTATTGAATCTTAGGAAAAAATGCTTATATAAAAAGTGCTTATATAAAAAAGTGCTTATATAAAAAAGTGCTTATTTAAAAAAGTGTTTATTTAAAAAGTGCTTATATAAAAAGTGATTATTTAATGATGCAGAATAAACATTATGGTTTGATATATTGCTTTGAGTTTCTGGCAATTGAGGGAAAGAACAAGATGTGGGCAAACTGTTTTCATGATTTGGGTTTGTCTTTGAAGCCTATTATGAATTGCTTTGATGGAGGAAATGGAACTGAGGTTTTATTTTACATTTTTTATTTTTATGGTTAATTTTTATGTGTAGAAATTAATATAATATTTCAAATTTGTATGCAGCTTGGACTAAAATATATTAAGGAAGCAAAAAAACTAACTCTTCCTCTTTCTTTTGTGCCATGGGTGGTAGTGAATAATCAACCTATTAAAAAAGTTTGTTTTTTCTTCTCTATTTATTCAATTCAGACACATATAATTAGTTTAATTAATTTCTAGATTATTGTTAAGATACTAATCAAGATTATTGCTTGTGTTAATTTCAGGATTATGCAAATTTTACCTTCTATGTCTGCCAGGCTTATAAAGGTGTTAATATTCCAGCAGTTTGCAAAGTTGATTGAAAGAAAGTTAAAAATAAATTCAAGTATTTATTTTATTAGTCAACAAAAAAGTACCTATATGTATGATTCCTATTGGAGTTCAAATTAATAATGGACTATTGACTTAGATGATGAATTGAAGAAATGATTAGGCAATGTGAATTTCAAAAATTGAAGAAATGAAAAATTCCAATGCTGAAAAATTGAAGAATTCCAACGTGAGAGTTTATAGATATCACACTCTTTTTTTTTTTACTTTGATTAGTTTTTAAATGTTACTAAATAAATTAAAAATAAATTTTTAGAGTTTTAAATATGATAATTTTTAATTAGATAGTTTTTAGATATTATAATTTTTTTATTTGATTAATTTTTAAAGGTTACTAAATAAATTAAAAATAAATATTTAATAAATAATTAATTTAGATAATTTTAAATACAATATTTTATATACAACATTTTTAATATGATGTTTTTTAGATATCTCATTTTTTTATTTGATTAATTTTTTTTTGGGATACAATTAATTTTTAAACATTACTAAATAAATTAAAAGTACGTATTTAATAAAAAATTAATTTAGATAGTTTTAAATATAATATTTTATATACCACATTTTTATACAATGTTTATTAAGATAGTTTTTAGATATTACAATATTTTTATTTGATTAATTTTAAAACGTTATTAAATAAATTAAAAATAAATATTTAATTTTTTCAGAGATCCAACAAATGATAATCAACTATGTGTGAATCATGACAAATATTTAATAGATGATGCTCAACTATGTGTGAAGTATGTCAGAGATCCAACAAATGATAATCAACTATGTGTGAATCATGACAAATATTTAATAGATGATGCTCAACTATGTGTGAAGTATGTCAGAGATCCAACAAATGATAATCAACTATGTGTGAATCATGACAAATATTTAATAGATGATGCTCAACTATGTGTGAAGTATGTCATAGATCTATGGGAAGATGATCAACTATGTGTGAATCATGTCAGAGATCCATAGGATGATGGTCAATTATGTGTGAACTATGTCAGACATATAGTTCAACTATGTGTGAACCATGTCAGAGATACATAGGATGATGGTCAACCATGTGTGAACCGTGTCAAACATCCAACAGTGATGATCAACTATGTGTGAACCATGTCAGAAATCTAAAGGATGATGGTTAACTATGTGTGAACTATGTCAGACATCCATAGAGGATGGTGAATATTGGTTCAAATATGCCATAGATGGATGGGGGGTGGTTAGTTCTTCTTCAACTATGGCACAGATGGAAAGAGTGTAGTCAATTCTGCTTCAACTATGACACATATGGATAAAATATGGTCAACTATGCTTCAACTATGGCACAGCTGGATAGAAGATGGTCAACCCTGTTTGAACTATGTGTGAAGTATTTTAGAGATGGTTAAGATGATAGTAAATAATGTGTGAAGTATGTCAAACATGCATTGAAGATGGTCAACTATATGTGAACTATGTCAGACATGCATTGAAGATGATCAACTATGTGTGAACCACGTCAGACATCCATAGGATGATGGTAAACTATGGGTGAACTATGCCAGACATCCAACACATGATTGTCAACTATGTGAAAATCATGTCAGACATCCAATAGATGATGGTACTCTATGTGTGAACCATGTCAGATATCAAACAGATGATGGCAACTATGTGTGAACCATGTCAGAAATCCAACAGATGATAGTCAACTATGTGTGAACCATGTCAGACATATAACAAATGATGGTCAACTATGTATGCACCAAGTCAGGCATCAAACAGATGATGGTCAACTATGTGTGAACTATGTCAGAGATCTAACAGATGATGGTCAACTATGTATGAACCATGTCAGACATCCAACAAGTGATGGTCAACTATGTATGCAGTATGTCAGGGATCCATAGAAAGATGGTCAACTATATGTGAACCATGTCAGGGATCCATAGGAAGATGGTCAACTATGTGTGAACCATATTAGACATCCAACATTTGATGGTCAACTATGTGTGAACCATGTCATGGATCCATATGATGATGGTGAACTATGTATGAACTATGTCAGACATATAACAGATGATGGTAAACTATGACATATGGATAGAAGATGGGCAACTCTGCTTCAACCATGGAACAAATGGATAGAAGATGATCAACTTTGCTTCAACTATGGCACAAATGTATAAAGGATGGTCAAATCTACTTTAACTATGACACAAATGGATAAAAGATGGTTAACTCTGCTTCAACTATGGCACATATAGATAGAGGATGAATAACTCTGCTTTAACTATATCACATATGGATAGAAGATGGTCAACTCTACTTCAATTATGGCACATATGGATATAAGATGGTCAACATTGTTTCAACTATGGCAGACATGGATAAAATTTATTCAAATTCGCTTCAACTGTGGCACGAATGGATAGAAGATGGTCAACTCCGCTTCAACGATGGCACAAATGGATAGAAGATGATCAACTCTGCTTCAACCATGGCCAAGATGGATAGAAGATGGTCAACTGTGCTTCAACTATGGCACAAATGGATAGAAGATGGTCGACTCTGCTTCAACTATGGAACATAAGGAAAGAAGATGGTTAACTCTGCTTCAAATATGACACAAATGAATAGAAGATGGTCGACTCTGCTTCAACTATGGAACATAAGGAAATAAGTTGGTCAACTTTGCTTCAAATATGGCACAGGTGGATAAAATATGGTCAACTCTAGTTCAACTATGGCACATATGCATAGGAGATGGTGAATTCTGCTTCAACTATGGCACATATGGACAGAAGATGGTTGTGATATGGTGGGAGAACTGACTTGAGGTTTTGCATTTCGTCGCAAATGTTTCGATTTAGCAAGAGTCGCCACCGACTTTTATTTTATCCAAAAGGAAAGGTCAAAAAGCCCAGGAAAGACCTTTGAGATGTTTTCTTGAGTTCGGGGGGTAGATTATGAAAAGGGAAGGTGCTAGCACCTTTTTCATCCATGGTTTTCCATGTGCTCTTAGTTACTTGCTTAGATCACTTGCTTTTCTTTTCCAATTGTTTGAAATGGTGCTTTGTGTTTGGTTTTGAAAGTATTTTGAAAAGAGGCCTTTGTTTAGGCAATCTTTGTAATGATTCTCGTTCGTAAGAATGTATACAAAGATGTTTGTCCTTTAAAAATGTTTCAATGTTTTGAAAGTTTTTTGGAAATGTTTTGAAATGTGTGTGTGTTTGTTTGAAAATAGCAAGGATTGTTTTGAAATGATCAAGTAACTAGAAGCATTCTACCTACTCAAAAGTCTTTCTTGTACATTTTTATTCCTTTGATATTGTTGGTTTACCATTGATTTGGTAAACAACCCTATCTTTGGATGTTAAACGGGACGGACGTGGGTCATCGTATGACCATGATAGCAATGGTGCCAAGTATGTTAGCATGTTTGAGGGACCAAGATCATATTGTTTTTAGGCAACCTTTTGATAGCGTCATCGAGGGACTATGATCTTTCGTTTTGTTTTGTTTTTGCCAAGATACTTTGCATGCACACCATGGCCATTTTTAAGGCAACAAAGTGGGTGAAACCCTAAGGAGTGCTTGTGTGCAAGGAGTGCCATTTTACATGCTTTTTTGTCTTGGATTAGGTCATGCTATTTGTTTGATTTTTGTCTTTATCATACAAAACCCTAATTTGCTAACATGTATATAATGCGATAAATTGCGTAAAGTAAATCTAAGCTATTACAACAATATTATGGGAGGGGGGATACAAGTTTTGAATGGGGGATATTGCTCAAACTAAAACCCTAAAAATTATTACAACCTGTTGCACCCCAAAATTTGCCCTCCCATACTCTTCAAGATTTGCCAAGATCAAGGTTCAAAATCTCTCAAGGGTTGCACAGTCCAATTGCCTCATAACACAGTCAAAATTAGGGTTTTGGTTATGGCAAAGAAGTTGAGGTTTCCAAGGGTCCAATCAAGTCCCACATGCCTATAAACATTGTCAAGCATCCTTATGTCAAGTTTCAAGACTCACAGCATCAAATTGCACAGTCAAAAACCCTAAATGCTTCACAATCAACTGCAGGGGCAAAATGGTCATTTGACAGTCAAAAGTCAAATTTTTTGGTCAACATATTATTTTGAAGCCACAAACATCATTTGATCAATTCTTGATCATGATTCTCAAAGCATGGCTCAAAAAGTCTCAAGATACAAAAGTTTCTATTTTTGGACAGTTGAAAAAGTCAACTGCAAATTGACCAGGGCATAACTTCTTCATGGATTATTAGAAAAATCCCATCCAAATCTCATTTTGAAGAGAATGACATTTCCTACAACTCATCTTCACACTTCAAATCCAAGAAATTCTCTCACAAAAAGTTATCAATTTCAACATTATAGGTCATTTTCAAAAGTCAACAAAAAGGCACTTTAAGTCAAAGACCATAACTTGAGATTGGTAAATCAAAATGATATGGGACCAAAGGCATTGGTTAGAGGACTTCAAGAACTTTCCAAAATGTCCAAGAACATGTTCATAGCTTAAAACTTGAGCAAGATATGCCTTGTAGAAGTTGGGAAATTTTTGGGAATTTTGAAAAGTCAACTTTGCATAAAAGGCTTCAAAAATGCTAATGGGCCTCAATTTCTTCCATGAATCATTACCCAAAGTCCATGCACGACCCATTGACCTCCAAGGGAGTTATTTTCTCATTTTTGATTAATTATTTGAATTTTTATTATTATTAATTCACTTAATTAAAATTAAATATGAAAAAATAGCAAATAATACCTTTCAAATCTTTTTGTGCAGAGAATTCACTCATTATGTGCTCAATATTTCGTGCGTCATTCAAAAAGGAAAGATTCTACATGATTGGCAATGATTGGCATAAAAAAGGATTGAAAAAGATTGGATTTTATATGATTGGAAATCAAATATCAAAAACATGAATGCATGGATTATGGGCTGGTTTTCTTA